CACACACACACACACACACACACACACACACACACACACACACACACACACGTACACACCCACGCAACTGCACGGTTCGGGTACAACACTCACCTAACTCGCCCCCATCCTCCCCTCCCTGCCAATAGAACAATAACTCAATAATCAAATAACCATCCAAAGGTGAAATCAGTCCGCGAGCCAAACCCACCATAATTATCATTATCCGGAACCCTCCCACGGCGTCTCATTATATCATAATTTGTCAGTCCTTAATTTGTGCCAAGGTCTCGGGTACCCAATGAGGAATTTGTGAGGCATCGTGGGAAAATCAGGCGCTCGTCAAAATAATGAGATCGAAGATACCAGAATTTTTCCGCGGGTTTGGAAATTTTTATCAAAGTTTTGTTTCTGGACTCAACACCTTTTATACCCTTTTAAAAACACATTAATGATAAGATTTTACTATTAAAAAAAAACGTCGATTAAAGGCACAGAAATGTAAATTTACAGTCTTCAAGGACTCTCACACTTTTGTAGTCACCAAACTTTGGCGGACATTTTCTCACTTATTTTACCTCTGAAACCAGGCAACCTGCACCTCTTTCAATCACAAACAGTTCGTCTTCTATTCAAGATGGATTGATATATTTCTCAATGAAAGATAAACGAATGAAACAGCTTTACGATAATAGCAATAACTCTTCATGAACAAACACTGACGAGCGCCTGATTCCACCGCGTCGTCACACATTCGTGCTCATCGGCGTACCCAAATTCCTTACACTTCCATTTGCTTGCTGCAAAAATTATTTTGAGAAACCTTTCGCGCACTGAGCAAACGAAAAATATTTGTCTCGGAAGAGTGCTGGGTTTCGGTAATAAGCGAAAAAAAAAATTCCAACGCCAAGGGCAGGTCAGTTATTTACAAGATATGTGTGGATTCTATTGATGTACAGAAGTATGTTTAATTTGTGTGAAAAAAAGAAGAAAAAGAAGAAGGAGGAGAAGAAGAAGAAGAAGAAGAAGAAGAAGAAGAAGAAGAAGAAGAAGAAGAAGAAGAAGAAGAAGAAGAAGAAAGAGGAGGGAGGGAGGGAGAGAGAAAGAGAATGAGGGAGGGAGGGAGGGAGAGAGAGAGAGAGAGAGAGAGAGAGAGAGAGAGAGGGAGAGGGGGGTCATAATTGATTATATATATTCTGCTCCCATCTGTACCTAGTTAGCTCTGTTTGCACCAAATTGAACCACGGTGTAGATTGTTCTATCTGTGCTGCTATAATCTGATAAACTTCTTTTTTTTCCATTTTTGGCTCTAAATTATTTTATTTGCTAAATCAAAAGCCTGATCATTTACCTTACTTCTGTGAGAAAAACGAAGTGAAACTGTGACTAGTTTTTAAAAAATTAATTCGAATTCAAATTTTGGAAGAACACCTTTCTTCACTGGTTACGCCGAGAAAAAGCCTCTGTATCTCGAAACTGCTGTAAACGAAAAAGACCTTTTGTCAGCTTACAGCACCTTGATGAAGGAACTACCCTATGGTATCACATCAAGCAATGTCCAGACGTTTTTTAGAACCGGATTTTGCCCCCAGTTTTACTTTTTCCACAAGATCGTGTTGTTTTCAACCAGCCCTTCTAATTCCGTCTGTTTTAACCCTTTATCCGTCTTGTTTCGCCTGACCGTATGTCCTGTGATGGAGCCGTTCCTCTGTACACATTCGTTTCAACCCGACAACGCCAAGTTGGGTGGCTGTATCGGTCTGTCTTCAGCCGAGATATTTGAACCCTTGATCGAAGAGTGTGTCTATGTGGGGCGCAAAATACCTACAATTATATATATATATATATATATATATATATATATATATATATATATATATATATATATATATATATATATATATATATATATATATATATATATATATATATATATATATATATGTGATTTTTTACGGCTTACGAGTACAGTTGAACCAGTTTTTTTCCAGCACAACTTTTGGTTCTTGAGTATTGCTGACAGGTCGGGGTTTTCCAAAACCCATTTCCAAAAACGCGTGTGATCCCATAATGGGGAAGATAGTTTTTCTTTATTGAGAAATTTCGAAGCTCGGCCTTTCTTCAATCTTCCGAGATGTGGGCCTTTTTTTATATTGCTCCTTTCTTTTTTGTAAGTGTTTTACGGCGCTCGCAACTGCACATGGTCATAGGAGCACGCGGGACACATTAAGCATTTTCAGTGGATAGGAAATTTTGAATTTTTCTCTGGTGGTGGCTGAAGCCTACTGTTATCGATTTTAGGACCATCAAGAGATCTTTAGGTGCGCAACTTGCATGCGGGATCTCCGAGATTTTTCGCCCTTGTCCGAGAAGGCTAGGTGTAAATCTTTCATACCAGAAGATCAGGGGTGTGGCTACAAGACAGCAGTAAGAAAGAGCCAAGGAGTAGTTGTAGAAAGGCTGCAAAAAGAGTCAGGAACCCAGAGGAGTTGGGAAAGGAGGTGATGGGATGGGGGCAGAAAGTGGAGACGAAAGCAGACGACTGAACGTTGTTAGATAGCAGGAAAGGATGTGAAACGAGACAATTTTAGAGAAAAGATTTTTTCCGTCGCTATCCGGATTCGAACCCGAGACCGGTTGAATAAGAGGCGAACACCTCTAGGCCACGAGAGCACCCCCCCCCCTCCCACCTCACACTGCTCTGATTCTCCATGGTAGGCGGAAGTGAAGCAGCCTGTTTCCTACATGACTTGTATGGTATCTATGGGTGCGTAAAACGTCCACGATAAACAAATCACTGGTGCCTGTGGTGTTGCGATTAGATTCTTCGCCTACGTGCGCAGAAGACCCTTGTTCGATTCCCATGTGGGGAGAACTTTTTTATTGAGCATCTCGGTCTTTTAGAACTGAAGTTGTATTCGTTTCAACCCGGGTTGGCCATGACGGGCATGGTAAAAGAATGTCTCCTAGATACCCTATCCGGTAAAATGCATTCGATTGGAGCGTGAAAACGCCTACATTAAAAAAAGCAGCAACACAAAAAGAAACAGCCCATGATCCCAATTTACGAATGTGCTATGTCTCCATGGAAGAGAGGTTCTGCAGAATAGTGACTGCTCGTCATGAATTAGGGGACTTATGCTAATCTTCTAGCAGCAAAATGAAGACTGATGGGGGCAGGCTATTGATCGTTTCTTTCTTAACAAGCAGACGGAGCTTCTCTTTGACAGTGACATGACATGCCGAGAACAAAAAACGACGTCTTGAATCCTTGAATGAGGATGTTGACCCGGAAGTGCCTACAAGAGGTTCAAGGTCAGGCGTCACTTTTTGTTGAATATCTTGTGAATCCTTAGGGTCGACCGGCAAACTCTGACGTCTGGTGGTGTGAGTGAGTACACGGGGTTTGTAAATTGTACTCCCATTGCTCCCCATTCTGACAGGATAATTCAGACTTTCGACACTCTTCAAATTGTGTGTGCCTGGAGAAAGGTCCAAGTTGTCGGGAATTTGGGATTATATTAAAATAAAGGCATATTCTTGAAGAAAATTCAATGCTGAACACGCTGGTTTTTTCTTTTTTTCCCCAAATATCTTCAGCAATTTCAAAGATATGCCACATTTTGTAACACAGGGTGTAAAACATGGTTTAGAGAAAAACCCAATTTCTTGCACATTTTAAACCTTTGTTGAAGTACATCGCGTTGCAAAAATAACTTTTTAAAAATAGCCAACCCCACCCCATTCCAACAAGAAGGAATAAAGAGTGAAAGGCAGAATCACAAATCCCCAAAACCGTCCAAAAACACTCAAAGCACAACTCTAATGACACCACAACCATAACTCACCCAACATTTTGAGCACCGCTCTCCGCGCGCGGGAGGCCGCTGTTTTGGCCGTCTGCGACTGTGAGGAGGACACCGAGGTGGCGAGCGCCGAGCTCCGCAGTCGGAAACCGATCATGAGGTACATGATGGTGATCACAGCCATGGGGATCACGAAAAACACGAAGGTGGACACCTGGAAGGAGTAGGACATCCGCTGTTGCCACTTGAAGGGAATGTTGCACAGGGCGGAGTCAAGGATGGGCCGGTGGGTCCTCGGGTCATTGAGGTACGCGAACACCCGGGTGTGGATCGGGTAAGGCAAGGCGCACAGGCCGGACACAACCCAGATGGACAGGACAATCTTGACCGCTCGCGACTGTCTGGAGGAGCGCTGACCCCTGATCGGGTGGCAGATGGCCAGGTAGCGTTCCACGGTGAAGCTGGTGATGGTGAGAACGGAGGCGTATGACGTCATTTCCGTGAGGAAAGACTTGAAAATGCAGAACGGTTCGCCGAGGTGCCAGGGGTAGGCTTCCCAGATGGAGTACAGCTCCGGGGGCAGTGCTGGGGAAATAGACAAAGCAAACACGTATGAGATGAAAATAAGGCTGAGTAGATTCATTGTGTTTCTTTCCCGGCTCGGGACAGGTCAAATTGTTAGCTTAGATGGTTAGTGCCGGACTGCAATGCCGTGGCTTTGTCTAAGACTTTGGAAATTCAAGAAGTATTTAATGTTTTCCATCTCTTGAGCCTGCTGCTACAGGATATAACTGTCAAATCTAAAGTCGTCTTCTCTCCTTTATTCTTCTCTCTCCCTTTCTCTTACTCTAGCTCTCTCACTCTCTCTCCCAATCTCCCCTACCCCCCTCTCTCTCCTTAAACATTATAGGTAGTGTAACTGTTAAACATTTTGCCAAAAAAAGTCGGATGTGAGTTTGATTCCCCTGTGACGTGTTCTACTTTATCGAGCACCCACGTCTCCCTGTGGCGTCCATCCATCTCACCCCGTGTGACCCCAATAGACAGGATCAAAGACGTCTAACCTCCCAAATGACACCAATTGTCCTAGTGCGGGCGGGAAACCGTTACACCAAATTAACAACCAACACCTGGCTCACTTATTTGTTCTTTATTCTTTTACTTCAAGTTTTCCCTTTTCAAAAACAGTTTTTTTAAAGTAAAAGCTTTCGAATGCACCGTTCTTCTGGGCTTGTTCAGGCCTCATTCCGTATAATATATTATCTGTCATGTTCTGGTCAGTCTTCTTGTCAACGCAAAGAGATGGACATTCTACATAATAATACAATAAACTTCCCTTGGAACCCCCATCTACAGTCTACTTAGTGCAAAACCGAAGAGCCTGGCAATTGACAATGTCGGAGTAAAACATTACAATTATAAATGCCGCTCCAGACTCAAAGACTGATACAGTATTTACTGTTACATATCACCAAACAGTATTTCAGGGTTTGATGGTCCTACGATTGTCTCCGACTTTCCCCAAGTCTATTGGAATCATAAGTCACCTTGATAGTCTGCCGTGATTTGTAAAAAAACACAACCCAACTAAAAACCTAACAACAACAAATAAACCAAACAAACGTTTTTCTCTTGTTTTCATCGAACCTGAGATCCTCGTGTTCTCCTACATATCTCACTTGACAGCGTATAGTAAGCATTATTCGAATCATACCCCCAGTCTTGCTATTACCAAACTCATACACCAGCTACTGATTTTCTCGAAAAGGCTCTAAGTGGAGATGAAGTGTTTTATTAGAACACACACACACACACACACA